CATGAAAAATAAGGAAATCTCTCTGAGTACAATGAAAATTTCAAAAGAATGAAGACCGTGTCTTTAAAAGTAAAAGTGAATTCCTACAAGTTTTAGTAGCTTACTTTTGCCAAGTAAGTGCTTTAATCATAATGATATAAATAGACATTTTGGTCAAAGAAAAAATAAACGTCAATTGCATTTCTGAGTAAAATTCATAGTTGAAATCACCAATTGCCTTTCCGTTCATTAGTTTAAAAGAAAACTTCACTGGCTCTTTCAGACTATATATGAAGTACGCACCTGATATTCTGTGATGGAACTGACAAGTGTCCTGGGTCAGCGGATGAGGACGGCTTAGCCAGTATGAACCTGGGCACCATCACAGAAGTCAAAGCAGGCATCGGTGTGTCTTGTTTGGTTTCCACCACGTGGGCACTGTCTGGCTGGGCTGCTATGGAGGCTGTCACTGTGCACGATCCACTTGGAGCAGTCCTGGAGTCCCAGCCTGACATAATGACAGTGGTGACCACCGCATCCCCACGGCCTTCCACTGGGGAGAGCTCAGGAATGACATCTCCCGGGGGCCCAGGGAAATACTTTCTCTCCAGGTTTGGATGGGAAGCACTTTCCAGGTCTGGAGCAGAAGCATTTCTGCGCAGAGTTCCTGGTGTCCCTTCATCAGCTGAGTTAGGAACTGGATCNCAAGAGCACGGCGTGCTCACGAGCAGGTAATTGCTTACGAGAAGCCAAAAGCAGCAGTGCACAGAGAGGAGCTGACTTCATGAACTCCAGGGATCCACTCTGGACTTTTTTTTTTTTTTGGTTTAAACTCACCTTTACAAGGATTAGTGATTTTAAACAAAATCCAGTTTAACATTATCGCAAAATTATGCTCACCTGTACAGATTTTACAATTTAGATTAAACAGATGCGCCTCATGCTGGCCTGTTGTGTCTTTCCACAAACTGCTACGGACGTCCAGAAGGGGCTGGGGGCTTTTTTCAGGGACAGCTCATACTGATTCTTGCTGTTCCTCAAAGAAAAAAAATGGTAGGTAATTTATTTTCCAATGCCATTTCCAAATTAACAGCACACATGAAAAAAGGTGGATGTGATTAAGAACCACTAGAAGGAAAAAAAAGGATCACTGGATACAAGTACTTGAGAAGTAATGAAATTATATATATTTGTCATAAGCTCAGTGTCCTGCCCAATAATTTAAGACACCTAAAAACATTTGGAATCAAGAAATTTTATTCTATCTTTTCCAAACCCTGAAAATACCAAATGCTCACACCTAAGTCTGACACGGGTGTAGAAACTTTTATATTGGGAATGGTTTCCTGTTTTTAATGTCAGTTTTTTTGCTTTAATCACACAATTTAGTTCTGGATTCTATCACCTAAAATAAAAAAAGACAAAAATCAAGCCCTATGCCTTGTTTTCCAGGAGGAAAGCACATCACTCCTGCAAACAGTGTATTATTTGACTTCTGGTAAAGTTAAGTGTCTGGTATCTGAAGCAGCCATTCTAAGTCAGTACTCACAGATTTCATCAGTTTCTCTGGCCACAGGGAAATTTCCTTAGATCCAAGTTCTTCTGGCTTCATTCTCACAAGTTTTGCCAAAGAAATTTCTCCATGCAAAACACGACGGAAGAGTCCCTGTAGAGAAACATCTTTCATCCATTCATTCATCCAAATGATATCTGTGTGTGTTAATGTGGAGGCTACAGAAACAACAAAGCAGCACAGAAAACTCTGCCTGGAGGTTCAAGGACCACAGGACAAAGACCGAAGCTTTCAATGGAGGGTAGCAC